CATCATCATCATCATCATCATCATCATCATCATCATCATCATCATCATTATTATTATTAATTACAAAACACATATAAATGACCTGATCAAACTGTTGCAGTCTGTTCATTTACTCTCAGTTCATAATACAATGAATCAAATCAGACAGACTGTATACTTTGTCTGAAATGGCAGCTCCTAGATTCAGATGGTTAGTGGGGACCTGAAATGTGGCTGTTGATTGAGGAACATGCAGGAGAGTACAAAAACAAGCAAGGTATGGTCCTAAGTCAAGAATCACTCATGTTATAGATAAAAACATGTGATTTTGGTTGATTTTCTGAAAATTTCTTTAAAATTAGGGCTTAAAATTATGATATCTTTGTCAATTTAAAAATTAACATATTACTTTGAGATGCTATTGTTAATCTTGTAACCTATGCTGAGAATGTACAAAAGTGCTCAAGGTTTTTTTTAAAAGTAGACAAAGGCAAAGACATGAGCATCATTAATAACTTGATTACAAATATAATTCTATTAGATTTTTTCAACTTTTCCCTTATAAGTAGAAAAATTTCTGGAACTGAAAACCAGTTAAGATAAATAAGAAACACTATAGTGAAATTGTCAAATTATTATCAACTATTCTACAGAAGTGTCTACAGTTCTTATTCCTTTTTACCTCAAAGCAGAAGTCTTGTCCAAGGATGCTACTATGGAGTGGTTTCACTGCCACTGGCTCCCCTCTACCAAGGTCTAGACATTCCACTGCACTGCACGGGCTCAGCAGGGACTCGTGTGAACGAGACTCTTTCAGTTTAGGCAGACCACGAGACCTAAAAGTAGAAGATACTTAGGGCAGTGTTACATGAAGTCTAATGAAAGGAGACTAATGAAAATGTACAAAAGTGGAAGGGGTTAAAATAAAAGGAGGAACAAACAGATATCCTATGTAGTAACAATATTAAGCACATTCATATGGCATACATAAACTATGTGTGAACACATCTTTTCAACAAAGCATAAAGACATAATTTTACAAGCTTCAAAGGACTTCTACGTTCCTATACAGATGTTATATTATCACTTCTATATTGGAAAATGAATACATACTATTCAGAATTACTTTATCACTTTTTATGCAAAAGCACTATTGGAAGACATTCTTATTTTGTTTGAGGTACACATTTATTTTCTTCTATCACCAACAATGGCTGAATCCTCAGCTTGCTTCTTTGTGTGTTACAAGATTCCACTCCCACCCCAACCTGACCAGTATGTAAGAGAAGGAAAGCAAGCAGGAGGAGTGAGAGTGACAGCAAGAAAGACAAACTTTTCTGCACAAGAATCAAACAGCCTGATTTCCATCTCAATAAGGAATTCTCTTCTGGCAAACTTTGACTTCTATACATCCTCTATCGTATAAATATGAGTAAAGAATAGAAATGCCCTGAGGAAGCGCCCACCATAGTTAAAACAAGACTCCCCAGAGAACAGCTGACACTGCCAGGCAAGCATCTTGGCTCACTGTTTTCTTGGTCATGGGTAGGTAGCTTCGTTCCTGTCACCAAAGGAGATAAATAATTCACTGCCTTCCTATTGTAAACTGTAAAAATTAATGAGCTCAACATGATGGAAAATAATTTTCCTGAATTCAGCAATGTATGGTCGTGCAGCTTTGGTCAATAATTATACTTAGTGACTGAAACACCCATCTGCTTCAAGTAGGTCTTAGTTATATGTCTAAAAAGAAATGTCTATGTAAAGACATTTGTTTTGGTAGAATATTTTAAATAAGCAGCTTTATTTATTTACTAGTAACAAGGTTAATACTGAAAGGAGTTTCAGTACTTGCTGTCAGAAGAGTCTAAACTGTAAAGCTACAGGATATTGGAAACATTAAGGTCACTATGTCTCCACTCTACTTAGACTCTGTAAACAAGACTCTGTAAACAAGAAACAACTTAAAGATAATTCAGCCTGTTGGTTCAACAAAAACAGCAAATAATAACGACCATCTAAAGTTTAGGCTGAAAAAAAAAAAAACAAAAAACAAACCTGAGTTCTGATAGCAATTCTTTAAGTAAAAAAAGCAGTGTAGTAGTTCCCATTAATAATGCAAGGTATGCACAAAAAAAGGACAAAAGCCACTAAATATATATAGTGCACATAAAATTCTACAAAGCAACAGTTGGATTCATTTCCCTTTGTTCTAGATAAGAAAACATGTTTGATGTTATGTGGTGCAAATACAGTACAATTATAACTAATTTTTTTTGATCTTAGTCAATTTATCGTAATGCAGCCTTTCTCAATAAGCCAGAAGCCAGATTGAAGAAACAGGACACCATAATCTTTGTAAAACAAACAGAAAATGATATCTCGCTGTCCTCAGGAACTGCTCCAGCTCTGGGATGATTAGCTCACCAGGAAAGGTCGCAATATATTTAAAGGAGAAGGTGTACAATAAAGTTTCTCTTGTTATAATCTCCAAAACAGTTAAAATATGAATTAATTTTATTTAAAACAAAGTAAATGTCTACCTACATGAAGCAAGTGTACAGCCACCTGGCAGTGCAGCCCCAAACCATAGCGGTGCCACATGTCCCCGTGTAGAAAGTCACTTCCTGGACTACATCTCAGAAAACAACTCTCGGTTTAGAAGGCAGGAACCAACTGGGAATCATTTCCCTGCTGCCTGCAGTTATAGATGCCGAATAAATGCTTTTCAGGTGTTATTCAAGTCTTCAATAGAAGCCAGGACAGAAACGCAAACAATCGAACAAGTCCTCTCTATCCACAGCCTGCAGTGAAGGTGATATCCCTTAATTCCTCCAGGCTGCATCTAAGTCCTTAGGTAACACAAACAAGGTTCCAGGGCTCTAGGCTGGGCCTGTTGCCATGGTGCTACACCTTTAAGGAGATTAGAGCTGGAAAGCAGCAGGAAGAAGCTGCAGCTGGCAGGACTCAGGGAGCATGATCTGCAAACATGGCGAAGGTGACTGCTTAAAAAAAGAAGGGAAAGAGCAGTGAGGGCCCATCCCCATGAAATTCTCAGCTCTGGGGATAGGGAATGGTGTCTTAATAAAAATTACTTAGGGACAGATCCAGAAGGGTTTCCTGTGACTGCCAGCTACCACTAGCTACACCTACTATATCTTCTTACAATACAATCTCTCACATCAGTTTCCTATGCTGTGCCCACTCTAGGCAAAAGTCTCTTTTTGCATGATTTATCTGGTTTAAAGTTATTTTCTAACTTTAGAATAAGTGAAATAAAATATTTTTTTTCAATGCTTGTCCAGTATAGTTCAACTTCCAACAGCTGCCATAAAAAACTCATCTTATTCAAGCCATCTGGAATTATAACTTAAAAGGTACTTACTGAAATTTCAGTAATTACTACATAGTTCAGAGTATGGATACATACACACATGAATCAACAGCCAAAGTCTAACATGTCCAACATTAATACTGAAGAAATAAGCAAGCTCTTCCTCTACTCGGAAGACAGTGTCTCTGAGAAGTAATTCCCACAGAAGCATGATTACAGTAAACACAAGATCAAACAGCCTGGGGATGGCTCAGGGCAAGAAGGGAGAAGGAGCCATTATTTCAATATGGCATTAGAAACCCCGTGTCACCTCTAATCATGTTTACCTCCTCCTGTACCTTCAGAGGAATTGATTTTCTGTAGATCCAACTACTGAATTTTAGAGCTGGTGCCACAGTTTACTTCTCTAATGGAACAGAATGGGGATTTATTGGGAGAAATAATGAGTTTAAAACAACTTTTCCAAGGTAAGCTGACAAGGGCCTTTATTAAGAAACCTGACTTGGCCTTAAAAGCAGATAATGTGCATTTCTGGACTACTGGCAGGTCCCTTCCCCGACTACACTCCTTTGTCCCACACCATTAGCATAAACATCACACAGGAATAATCTGGGGGTTAATTTAACTGGAAAATTGCTTCCTACAGTTTGATTTTACATTAAATTAAGGAGCACCATATTCTACACTTCAACTTATGGACTGTGAGGGTATGGGTTGGCATGGGTTAAAAATCTAATTGCTGATGAAGATTACTCGCTGGTTCTGACTTATTTAGGATATAAAGTACAAGGCAAGAGAGGCTTTCTGTTACCATATTAAATGCCTGTTACATTGCTGGAGCCGTCATCACTACTTAAAATCAGTCATAAAAAGAGGAAAGTGAATACTGGAGTTGGGCGCCATCACACACACTGGTGGGTGCACTGGTGCGAAAGGAAAAGCATAAAAGAACTCTGATTAGTGCAGTTTGAAGTAAACACAGCCGGATTTGCTCAGCTCACCCATCTGATTTCTTAAAAAGTCACGTTTCCCCCAACGCTCCAATAGTGCTGGGGTTGGCTAGCTCACTCTGCCACATGTTTACAGATTCAGTTCCAAATTTAGAAATTGGGAAACTTTTAATTAAAAATGCTTATTGCCACACAAAATCCTGCACTTGGTGCAGGTGAATTTCTGCTTAGTTGGCAGTTATGGTTCTGAACTACGTCACTGGATTCTGGGAGAGACGCGGAGCCTGTAGCTGGGTGCTGCACCACACTTGTGTTTTAACTAGCATGCATCTTATAGCACTTGTTCTGAAAATGTCCCACGTAGTCATTAATAAACCTGGGTATCTCAACACTCAATATATTTTAAAACTGAGATCTCAAAAGACAAGATTATTTTTTTCCCTGTTCCCTGGATTTTACTGTTTTCTAATCAGACATTTTGTGAACATTTCCAAGTGATTCTATTTGTTGAACATATAACTCTCCTGTATTGTAATTTTAGCACCCCTTCTCAGGCTTTGTATCTCACTCACTAGTGTTCTGTTGTGTACTCAAAACCCTCAGAGAATCTTGATAGCTCCAGCTGCACTGGCCTGTTTGCTGTAGGTGAAAGCAGTCCCCACTGCTTCTGCTACTGATTTTTATGTTAGCTACACAGAGCTACTTTTGGAAGAACAGTACATAATGCAGATTTTCCTTCTCACTGCTCTCAAGTCTCGAGAGTCTTAATGAGCCCAGATGCTGAGCCCAGATAAAAGCAGTGTATCTGTATGTAGCGTGAGTTATCATTTGAAATAAAAACCTCATGGCTTACCATCCCACAAAATGTGAAACATACAGCAACTTCAACATGTATACATGTACACATTCAATGAAAGGAACATAGAGACTATAAATATTAAAAGTACATTTGAGAAGTAGAAAATTCCACTGTCTCAAATAGAAATTGTTTTATAATATGTTTTTCTTGGTCCTTAAATTGCAAATGTATTAAAACCTATTAGTACAATCAAACAAATATAAACAGATACACTGAATTAAGCAAAGACATTAAAATAAACTAAATTACACCTAGAATACAACTCAACTAAAAGACCACTTAAAGGTGGAAATACTAAGTTCTTTTAAAACTATTTTTAATTGAAATAGAATTACATTACTTTCTCCCACCTTTTCCTCTCTTCTGCAGCTCCCATGCTCCCCCCACTCTCAAGTTGATATCCTTTTTTCTTTAAGTATAGATCTATACACACACAAATATATATATGAACTCTTTCTTCTCTCCCCCCCCTTTTTTGGCAGGAGGGTATTTAAGACAGGGCTTCTCTGTGTAACGGTGGTTATAATAGAACTTTCTTTGTAGACCAGGCTGGCCTTGAACTCACAGAGATCTGCCTGCCTTTGCTGGCTTGTACTTCTTAATCTAGAGGGAAAATTTGATATTGCTGTTGTTTCTGTCTTGTTTCCTCCTGGGGTTCTGTCCCCCTCTTCCGCTATGTTCTTGATGCAAGAG